TTTTTGATACCTGGATTTCCAGGTATCAAATTTAGTTGGAGCTGCAAATATGCAGTGCAGGAAACATTCTTTTGTTCCTAACTTGCCTCTCGTGGTTTCTCAAACTGCTTTGACACGCTGCACGAGGCACATGCACACTCACCTGGATGCACCCATGGTTACCCTTATATGAATACCTTATAGTCTTTAAAAATATCATGAGGTGCTTAACTTACATTTCCTCTTTTACACGCTTCAACTCCCTCACTTTCTGTGGTAAGAAAAGTATCCTCTTATAATTCCTTGTTTAGTTTTTTAGTTTCCCTATGTAGTTAATGACCATATTTCTCTGCTGCAATACATGAAGTCCAAACTTCTTTTTAAGTATACAGTATAACCTCATAAAACTAGATATAAAAAATCCGGAATTCTCAAAAATCTGGCACTTTTTAAAAATACACTACCATTGGGGAGTAGCGGCAGCTGGTCCTGGAGCAGTGGAGGAGGAAGCTTGCATGTGGCAGCTGCTGCTGCCATCTACTACCCCGCACCACCACTCTGTGTGCGGCCACTGCTTTGGGACCTAAAGACCCGCCGCCCCACTATCAGTCGCTGCTCTGTTCTCAAAAATCTGGAATTTTCACATTTCCGGCAGGTGTTCGGTTCCGAGCAGGCCAGATTTATGAGGTTATACTGTATAGAATTTGCACCTCATCCCATTTACCTTAACAAGTTAAGTTTCTTATAAGGCCTATGATATTAGGTTCTGTGTGAGTGTGGTGGTTGTCTGCTTATATTTTACTGCTTTTATTAGGTTCAAAATTTCTGTTAGCCAGCGCTGAAGAAGAACATTGGTAAGATACAACATGAAGGTACACATTTTATTTTTTAAGTGGGATACTACTTGTTAGCAAGATACTTTTTGCATCTCATAAAACTAAATTCTTGTACAAACTGCAGGATATGATTATCTAATAGCAGGCATCTTGCCTTTGATAAGGTTATGAAGATTCAATTAGATAAGCACAATGCAAAGTATTCAGACATTGCCTTGAGACTGTAGTATGAAAAGCCATAATACTATTCTGTTCACTAAACACACTGGAAACCCTAATATCATATTTAAAAATATATGTTTTCCCTCTGCTATGTTCAGATTATACTCAAAACAAACAAACAAACAAACTATATATATATATATATAGTAGAATGCTTTGTGTGTAACTCCTTCCTGGGAAAAGTGCAGGATATCAAGGGATGTAACATGAAAATGGAATGGACACTACATTAGTGATCCTGGGGCCAGCCCTTTATAGTCCTGGTTTAGACTGGAGTACCCTTAGGGACATCAGGCAACTTTGGATAGCAGAGTATTAGCATGCACTGTCCCCACACAAGGACATTCCTCCATTATGCTCTGGCTTGTATGGTGATTTGGAAGCTGGCTATAATAATCTGAGGCCACTGAAGGTTTTCCCATGCTAGAGGATTTCTCAGTTTGGGGATGCAGCCTATTTCCATCTCCATGTATTACTGGGGCTATACAAAGGCCAAAGAATGAATCAAAGAATCTGGCCCTATAATAACTAGAAACAAAGAGAAACAATGAAGCTCTTATACTTTCTGAAATATGGAAAATAAATTACAAGGTCAGTGACAGACCCCTGCCTTCTGGATCACTCACAACTGAAGAAAGAGAAATTTCAGAGCAAAGCAAGAAGCAAAGCAAGAGAAATCGGATAAATATTCTAAGCAGAAGTTTGCAGTAAAACAGAGAGGGTAAGATAGCCCCACTGGTAAAAATGATTGTCCTTATGCTAAAAAAAAATCTATGTTCAGTGTAACAAGGGTAACTTCTTCTTTTTTTTTTTTTACCATTGTTACATGACAAAAAGGAGGTGCAAAAATATTCAGTTAGTCATAGTCAAGAAACACTTTTTACTAATGATAAAATCAGATACAGAATATTGCATTTGCCCTTGCAAATTAAGTGGAAGACATAAGAAACATACATATTAAAAATCATAATTTCAGAATAATAGGCTGTAGTTCTTGTGTAACTGTGCAGATGTAGAAATTTCATTCATAAAAGTATATCTAATGGTACTAAAAATGTTTTGAGACACAGAACAGCAGCACAGCTATATAACTCTCTACCACTTTATAGTACACCACACCGTTTATTCACAGGAGATGAAAGGAAAGTCTTTGATTATCTATGTGTACAGCTGATCCATATATATATGGAACAAGATAACATAACTGCAGTATAGTAGCACCTTTGCTATTACTAGAAAAACCCATTAATGTATTATGAAACTCAATTTCTAATTTTGCTGTAGCCACAGGTATCAAAAGAAGACATCTGTGCTAATGAGATATCATCCAATAAAAGATAATTTCCCTGAATCTCTATTATCTACTGAAGAAAAATTTAAACTGTTAAACAGGCTAAAAGAAATAAAATGTTGCAAGTACATGCATATTAATGGATCAAGTTAATGTGTGTCTCATTTGTTTGGATGAAGAGCCACCACATTTAAAGTTAAAAATGGGATTTGCTTAGATATTAAAGAATGGTAGGTGAAGGGAGGGGAGAGGGGGAATAAAGAATATAAACATATATATATATATATAATATATATAAAATCAAATATAAAAAGAAAGAAAAGAAGAAAAGAAAACAAATACATTCTAGGTACAGGAAAGAGAACTATAGGACTTATGGCAGCTATCTATGAATGGAAATAGATTTTACCTGACATCCTCTTGGGAGAAATGCCTTTGTATATCCTCTTTTTTATCCTGTTTTTTCTCTTTCCCTTCCTCAGTTTCAGCATCTTGGATTTTTTCATCATCTCTTGACTCTTTATTTTCCTCTTTATCACAGTTTTCTGTCACCTCTTGCCCTTCCCCTTTCTCATTAACTTCTTGTTCCTTTGCTTTTTCCTCATGTTCCTGTTCCTGTTCCTCCTCCTCAGGAAATACCTCCTCATGCTCATCCCCTTCCTGCCCTCCCTCTTTTTTCTCCTCTATATCCCTTGACCTTTGGAAGTCAACACAAATTGAAGAAGGCATGCAAACAAAAAAGAAAGCAAAGTAGTTAGGGTTGTAGAAAAAAAGTACACGTGCAATACAGACAGCAAAATTTAAAAGAAAAGAAATGAACTAAAAAGGAAAATGAAGTGAGAATTAAGAGCATGCTGGTTAATTTCCCAGTACAGTCTAGACAAGGATTAAGATGGGATCGTTTATCCTGGACAATCTAAAGCACTTAGTCTATGCAAATTTACATGCCAATAAACCACACACAAAAAAGGCTGTACATATTGTGGTGCTACAGACAATACCGGACCTAGAAACTGAGAAAACCTAAACCTATCCTTTATTTAAATATCTCATTTTTTCTGGGAGGGAAACCTTCCCAGCACTGGTGACAAATATACTTGTCAAATAAATACACAGGATCTGATCTTGTTTTCATTGTATGCAATATCTCCTTCACAGTTTGATTGGCAGTTTGGGAGTACAAAGACTGGAAGGTAGGCCCAATTCTTCTCTAACATAGTCAGCCAGTAAATATTTTGTAAATGAAACTACCCTTGAAACTGTTGAGTATTTTACTAAACTCTGTCTTTAAAAGATATAAGTTGAGGTGTCACAAATGCTTTCTGACAAACAAGTGACATTTCATGATTCTAAACTTTTCCATATGAAAAATATTCTATTTACTTTTAAAAATAAATAGCATAAGAAACTGAAGGAGCATTAAAAAGAGAACCCCAAATCCTGTATTTTGCAAGCTCCTTAAGTATTATTAATATTCTATACATTAAAGTTTAGGAACATAGTTAACTCATACTTTTACCAGGAAAGGATGTCCAGCTCACTGGAACTTTAATTCAGAGGCTAACATTACAGCTCCCAGCTACTCACCTTATTTTCTTGTTTCCTCTTGGTCGTTCTGATTGGACAGACATGTAACTTGTGCTGCTGAAACGAGAAGCACTGCTTGTCCTAGAGACAGCTGACACATCACTGACATCACTGTCTGAAGATTTATTGGAAATGTTGTCTGAGCCTCGCTGATGATCTCGTCCTGACCGATACTGTAAAATCAGAACAACAAAAATAAAGACGTTGTCCGTGAGATCACCACAAATTAACTGCTGGGTATATTAATTGTCTGCACCACTAAATTCTTCATTCTTACAATGAAGTTTAAATTCGTTATATTGTATAGCTTACAAATATCCTTTCCATATACACATGTATATCACCCAATTCAAGATGTAAAACTCAGGTTCCTATTCTGGAACACACGTAGAGTAAGTTGTCTAACAACTTTAACTGGAGCATTTCCAAAACCTTTGCAAAGTCTGAAGTCTCCTAAAACCATTGTGGTATAGTTATTAGGGCTGTGCAAAGCTTCAGTCCTTGATCTGATTGGGCAGAATGGAATCAGGGACAGTGATCCGAATCAATGAATCAAATCACTGTCCCTGATTCAGACTGAATTCAAATCCGAATCGAATAGGACCCACTTTGCACACCCCTAGTAGTTATTAATATACTTCATTTATAAATGGGAAAAGAGAAACATGGAAAGAGCACATGACTTACCCCAACTTGCTTAACTACTGAAAACCTGACTTGGAATAAAACCATTTAATTCTCTAAATGACATTACCTCCCTAGGACATACCATTTACCTTCACAGATATGTCTGGCTAATTAATATTAAAATAAATAGACACCTGAGATTATCAAAATAAAATTAGAAACACAACTGTACTTGTGCAATCACAAACACAACTTGTAGAAATGTTTAAGTTAGGCATTTTAAATGAATTTTAAGGAGCAAGGAGCCAGATTTTAAAGGTAAATGCCTAAGTTACATGCCTATTACATACTTTTAAAAATTTGGCCTTCAATACTCAACTTGCATTGGCATTCATTAAGAGTAAACCCCTTAGAAAATCCCAGACACAGCTATCTTGTTCCATTAAAAAAATCAAGGTACAGATACAGGTATCCAATATATTCAATAATGAAACTTGTATGTTCTAATAGGAACTACCTCAATCCCAAAACTAAATGATTAATCACTTTCCTTTGGGATTTAAGTTTTGCATACTGAATTCAGACTCATACCGAGTTTTTTCTAGGTACAGGCTTACTGATTTATAAAGGTATATCATATTTAAAGGAGTTAAATGTGTGGCGTGTTAGCAGAGAGGATTGAATTTGGGATTGCAGAATTTTGTAATGAGCACCTCTGCTGCCTGACCATAAAAGCCCAGCTTTCTCAATCATAGATGTAATAAGTTCATCAACATGCCTCTGATCTGCACAGAACAATGCAGGGCTATGCAGATGCAGCCTGGCTAACTCCAAATAAGCTACTCAGGAGCTGGAGTCAGTCTAGTTACATTAATATGGCACTCACCCAGACTATTTAGTTCACTTGAGAGACTAATTAGGAGACAACTTAGATATCTTTGCATAACACTGCATTGTGCTGTGCAACCTAACTCTGTGATTATGACTAAGGAGAATGCTACAATGGTCATTTAATATTATGGGCACTGAATGATAATAGGACTAAGGATTATTGACAACTATCAGTGGCCTGAGCCCTAAACAGTTACTGAGAGAAACACAGCAGCTGCTCCAAAGAGCTTACACTTTAAATAAAAAGGTGCATTGAATTACCAAATGATAGCACAGTCTCTAAGTGGGGCAGATATCTTTTTTTCTCCTTGTTTGCATATAAAAGTCTGTTTTCATTTATGGGCTAATTTTGACTATTTTGGTAGAAAAATACATGTTTTATGGCATGATTTGAAGGAAAAACTGGTGTCCCAAACAATGAACAAAAGAGGGAAGGGCTGCTAAAAAACATAGGGGCATCATAAATGAAGGCTGAAGAACAGTATGGGAGAAAGTCATAACGTGTTACAATATGTTCAGTACCTGAGTTACAGGCCACAAGAAGTCAAATGCATTGATGAAAGAGCCTAAAACCTAAAGGACCAATCTGTGATGGCCCTTGCATGCCTGTGAAAATGGAGAAGTTTTGGGTGACTGTTTGGGTGTCTGTTTGGGAGATACTTCTCTCCTTTTTGCCCCCTGTGAAGCACAAGGACCTTTTATTTCAGCTTTCCTGCAGGAAGCAAGTAACAAAAAAGGGCACAACAGAGAGGGGCCAGCACACCAGAAGGGATAACTTAAGGCAGGGATGGCCAAACTGCAGCAGGTATGCCAAAAATGGTACAGGAAGCCTATGTGTGTGACAGGTGACAGATTAGGGAGGGCACAGTATTAGATAGGGTAGGAAATGGAAAGCAGAGCAGCAGATTGGGCATGAAGAGCAGGGAGGGAGAAAAAGGCACAGCATCACGATGCAGGGGAAGGGAATCAGAGTGGCACTTTGGAAGAGTGCAGAGCTAATTTGTGGCATGCTGTCCAAAAAGGTCAGCCCCCTGTTGGACTCTGTGCTTATGTAGCAGCTTCAGGAAAGACTGTATTTGCCCATGGTGTAGCAGGTGCAGCCTTATAGTATTTAAGGCTAGGTATAGACATTACATATAAACTGGTATAAATGATTGGAAAACAACCTAAACTTGTAACAGAACAAAAGTTCAGTGCACAGAGAGTGGTTTAAAAATGGCAGAACCCAGTCTAAGATAGACCTGGATGGATGTAGTATCAGTGGATATACTTATATGTTAAATTAGGGCACCTGAATAAACTCCGGCACGGTTCACACTAGAGTTTGCTGCTCCTGGCTACAGCATTTACATGTGCACCTGAGACCATAGCATGTTGAACTGGGATGGCACAGCCCCAGCTGGCAGGGGACCTGAGAGGTCAACCTGCCAGCCCAGACCTGCTCCCCCTCCACCCAGCTCAACATGCTTCAGTGGGACTAGCTGGGGCATGAGGGTGCTACAGTGCAGGGCTTGCCAGCAGGCAGCCTCCGCACTGTAGCATCCTCATGCTCCAGCTAGCCCAAGTCACCCTCTATACATGTGTTGTGGTGCACTAAATAACTTTGCTATAAAATAGTACCTGTGTTGGGCAGTACTACCCCACAGCAGAGGTAATTAGTTTACTGTGGCCTAATAGCACTGCTTGTGTAGACGATGATGCTTTACTGTGGAGCTAATTAGTCAACTTCACAGTAAAGTGTATGCGTAAATGCACACAGATTTAATCATTTTAGGTTAGACTGGTCTATCGAACTTCTTCACCAGATCCCTTCCTGATTCAACTTAGGTCACTGTCTTCCAGCATCCGAGGATCCTCTGTGGGTCCCTGCTAACACTTCTTTGCAGGGCAGGAAGGCTAACCTCTGCCCATACTCCTCTGCTCCATCCAAGCTCCAAGCCAGCCCTGCCCCCAGGCTGTCACAGAGCTGAGGCAACAAAGCCTCTGCTCTCCAGTCCTGCATCCTGTTTGCATCTGTAACCAGGCAGGGTAAAGGGGGTTGGGGTAATAGAGGGGGGTGGAAAAGGAGCTCCCCACCTTGGTTATGGCTTCCCCCTTGGATTAGGGTCTGCACAGCTTGGGGGGGCCTACGCAGTGGGGGCTTTCCCCCTTGCTGCCCCTGCCCAGCTCAGCTGACCAGCTGGGCCAGCCTCCACAGTCCTGCCCCTCCACGAGCTGCTGCCCCTCAGCAGTGGGGAAGAAGGGGTAGGTGAGCGAGGAATGGAGCTTCCTGCCCTGGCCCTCCCCCCACCCCGGATGGAGTCTGTACAGCTGGGGTGCTCCACGTAGTTGGGGATTTCCCCCCTTTCTGCCCCTGCATGGCTGCCTGGCTGGGCTTGCCAGTTGAGCTGGTCAGCTGGGCAAAGGCAATGAGGGGATAAGCCCCTGCCATGTAAACCCCTCCCAGATGTGCAGACCCCAACTTTAGGTGGGAACTGTGTTTCTCCCCCTTACTTATGTCCAAACCCCTGCTGCTGAGAGGCAGCAACTTTGTGTGAGGGATGGAGCTGTGGAGACCAATCCAGCTCGCCAGCCGAGCTGGGAAGCTTCCCTCTTCACTCCCCACCCCCCCTGCTCCAGGGTGCCTGCTGGCTGAGCCAGGCGCTGCAGCTGACAGAGGGGCTGTAGTCTGACAGAACTGAAACCTCCATTCCCACCTCCCCCATTGCTCTGAGAGGCCCAAACTTTACATCTGTGGAGTGCCCCCTCCCAGTGCCACCACCAGCCAGGCTGCCAGGCATACCATTATGACCTCCTCTGGAAGCCTAGGGCTGGATACCGCAGTGACAGCAGGGGGTTGAGGCATGTGCCTGACAGCCAGTCATGGATGGCCCATGCTTGGCTGCATTTGGCTGCCCTTGACAAGTTCTGGCACACAGGGAGGCATCCAGAAGCATACTCCATCTGGCTTTAGCCAGTGCAGGCATCTGCCTGCCTCCCCCCAACCAAAGGGCAAACTTACGTTCCATTCACTCCCATTCCAATCTATGCGGTTTAGAGAAACCTGTGTAGGTTTGATCAACTGAATGTCTGTGCTTAGCCTAAGTGTCTTTCTACCTTTAATGTTAGCCTCACAATGACCCATTTATCTAAGGTAAGAAACTCTTATCCTCAGTTTATTGGGATGATTGGGAGGGTGAAATGCAGGATGGATAAGTGACTAGCTCAAGGGAACACAAGGCATTTGTGACCAAGAATTAAGCATGGGGTTTCTGAGGCTGGATCCCAAATCTACTGGATCATCTTTCTAACACTTCTGATAATGCAAGGCTATGGCATAAATTCCATAATCTAGCCCCAAATTGGTGTTAGGTCTGCATTCTTATGTACAACTAAACTGGTTCAAGAGAAAAGTAAAACTATTCTCTGAAACCTAGGATGCAGGACCAAAGAAAGAAAAAATGGCCTTTCTACCTATGTAGACTCCAATCTCCAGCCACTCTCTTGCTTCAGACTTTAAAAGGATGAGATTTTAGGTAGTTAGTTATAGATCATAAATTTGGATTCTGCAGCACTTATTGAAAAAGTCATTAAAAACCTTAGAACTGCCTGATAAAGAATACAATAAAGATCTCTTTAGTTGCAAATCCCAGTGGAAATAGAAACCTGACATTTA